GTGAGCAAATTGGTCAAGCAGTGGTCATGACTCATCCACACTGTTGACAGTGACAAAAGATCTACAAGGTTCTGTACATGGTTCCAGGGTAAATCCTGAGGGGATCTGACTGACCTTGTCAGATAGCAAAAGTTACATTTTTAGTTATATAGGTCTTGCGTTAACTTGGTCTTAACGATCCAGCAGAAAAGTGTAACCACAAGATATAAAAAATAAAGCTATATTAATATGCTGAGCCATAAAAGGCTTGAGTTAACAACTTCTGACAATTGCCAGTTGTGCTGATGACTCATTACTATTACGGACTATTGGACAATATTGGATTAGTTTGCTGAATTCAAGTACCTACAATCTTTGGACAGGCATCAAGTATGAAAAGGTCCTTTAAAGACTTCTCCAAATACAGCTTCTTTAACTGCAATGGAGCACCTACCTTTGACAAAACAAAACAAAAAAGGGGATATGTTGGGAGCCAGGGAAGCTAGGAAATTGATCAAATGTGTGTAGGTGGGAATAGGCCTCAGTGCCTAAAGGAAACAAGCTACCTTAGTCCTGACATAAACATCCTGTCTGGTTAAAGTCTGCTATTAGTGGATACGCAACCTTGTGTCACATGTTACTAACTTTGCAAAAGTGTAAATAAAGGAACCTTTTGTTGTGAAAAAAAATTGGCCAGATTTAATTGCTCCAAAACATGCGTACTTACCTATGTACTCATTTACATACAACTAACACAGTGTTTTACATGATACACACATATCATTTCATCTGTCAATCTAAAAAAATAGAGAAACAGTAGAAACATTTAGGAAATACTTCATGGTTAATGTTAAACATGTAGCTCTCATAATCTCCCTACAGGACTCCCAACTGAAGTTCAGCCAAGGTAATGAAAATAGATGCACACATAAGGACTTGGACTCAATTCTTACACAGCGAAAGTGGAGTTGATAAATCAAATGCTATGTTCACATAAAGAAGGAGAAAATGGAACTAGGTGGGGGAGGGGCACTAGCGCCCTGGCTGCCGCACTGAGAATTCCAGTGGGAGGTCCTAGTCACTTAGCAACACCCCTGAGTTCTGGAAACAAACAAACCACAGAGATACTGGTAGTGGCTGCAAAACCAGGGGCACCATGGTGGAGCAAATATGGCACTTGAAGCCATGGGTAAGAGAACCAATGCCCCTGGGTATGACTTGTAAACCCTGGTGGAAAGACCACCTGCCTTCCAGGTGTTTCGCAAAGCATAAGAACAAGCGTTTCCAGTTTCCCACTAGTCTGGACAGCCAGCGTTGGGTATTTGTGAAGAACGGTATAGATGACTTCAGGGAAGGCTGTCCAGATTCTGAAGATCTGATCATTCGTGGCACTAAGGAAGCCAGTCCCCCTATGGTCACTCATGGAGTCTCCCAGCCTGGTGCCAAAATGAACTGGAGAAGGCAGCCCAAGGACACAACAAACCTGTGCTCTACACTATCTTCAGCCCAACTAGCACGGCAGACATTCATGTATGATGTTGAAGCCTACCTGAATCAGAAGATTTCCGCCATTCTCCTCTCGGCTGTGAAAGAAGATGTCCCTGCAGATCTCTTGCTAGAGGCACTCAAAGTACTGGACCCGGACCGCAAGGTGGAGGACACATGGGATTATTGTGAGGGCAAGAAAGTAAGACCCAAGAAACCCAGAAAGTTATCTAAACAAGGTCGTGCAAGAGGCATGCTTAGCCTCCCAGAGATTCCTAAGCCACGCCGATACAGCTTGATTCAGGGAGAGAAGGTAAGCTCATTGTATTTACTCAGCGCCCTTCCTCGTAATTACATGCCACAAGGAATTCGTGACTTCTGCAGATGGGTTGCCACTTTGGGAAATTTCGGCATCAATGAAAATTTCCTGCTGAAACAATTTGACATTGGCTTTGAGTTCGAACCAACCTATGAAGATGTCCGAATAAAGAAGATACATGCGCTTATCCCTGAGCTCAAACGTTGCAAAGGGCTAAAGCCACTGGAGGAGATAATGTTCACCATAGAGGAACTAGACTTTGAGAGGAAACGCGAGAAACTAAAGAAGCACCCTCCACAAAAGCATGAAAAGATCAGGTATGGAGCATGGTACCTAAAGCCCAAACTGTGGAGAAAGCTGATAAATGATGAGCCTTTGATTGACCCCAAGATCTTAGCGGAAGCTCAACGTGAACCTCCTCCTGACATTATTGAAGACCTTTATGGAACAATTGCCTTTAAGGACTTCATCGTAAAGTACGGCTACAGTATGCCAGGAATCCTTGAACAATTGTTCAAGAGGAAGGGGTGGAGTTATGACAAGTTTGTGACCCCTATACCAAAAGCAGTGGCAGCTTATCACAAAGCACTAGCTTTGTTATTAAAAGATGATGAATAGGCAGTTTTTCATTCGCTATATACCTATGTCTTGCTCTCATTTTCAACAATCAGAATATAAGAATATGGTACCAGTTTGGATGTACAACTGAGACAGGCAGCCTATTACTTCAACATTTAACAGTCATCAATATTTCTCAATGAACTTCTGCTTTGAATTCATTAGTACTTCAGATATCAACTGAGATCAATAGTCACATAACCTCTTCTTACATTTCTGCAGCATTGACAATGCTATCATTATATCAATTATTTGTAAGACTACATAAAACCATACAATGCAGAATTACTCTTAAAAGGAAAATAATCCAGTGATGTGAGTTATGAAATAGGAGATACCTGAAGCACAGTTGTTGTGTTGAATAAAGGAATCTTGTAAGGCTTTGTTTGTATTAAATTTTTAATGAAATATTATAGCAATTAGTTTGTCAACCACAATTGAAACCTACAGCCCCAAATTTTTATCTATTTTGTTTTTTCTCATAGAGTTTTAATTAAGTTTATTGGTATAATTTAGGTATACATAATGATCGCATTCATCATAGGGAATTTAGAACTGTACACAATATATGTTGATTCTTCTTTTTGCACCATTATACCCCTCTCTTTTTAACTCTTCTTCCACTCCTTATTTACAAATGCTTCAGTTACATTTTATCCTTGTTTTCCTCTTTTTTGTCTTTTCCCTTCTTTCTTGCCTTCCTTTCCTCAGTTTCCCTTTCCTTTTGTTCCTTATTTACACGTTGAGCTACTCACCCCAGAAAACAATGTGATACCTTGTGCATCCCATTAATTTCACTTTAGAATGGGGTCTCATGGTCTATCCCTTTACCTAGAAATGTCTACTTTATCCTTCTTTATAGCATAGTAGTACTTAATTGTATTAGGAGAAACCCATATCTTATCTATTCATTAGTTGATGGGCATTTGGGTTATTTCCAAGATTTAGCTATTACACCCTGTGCTAGGTACTTGACCATATGTGCTGCTATAAATATAGGTGTGCATATATCACTGTGGTATGATGCTTTTAATTCTTTCAGGAAACTACCAAGAAGGGGAATAGCTAGGTTGGATGGAACCTCTAATTTTAGGTTTTTGAGGAGTCACCACATTGATTTCCATAGTGGTTGCACCAATCTACAACCCCACAAAGAGCAGAGAAGGGTTCATTTTCCCTGCCACTCCCACCACTTTAAAATTTGTGATTGGTTGATTTCTTGATAATATCCATGCTTTCTGGGGTGAGGCTGAATATCAGTGTTGTTTTACATTTCATCTCACAAATGACCCATAATGTTGAACATTTTTTCAAATGTTTATTTGCCATTTGTACTTTTTCATTTGAGAAGTGTGTATTCATATCAGATGCCTGCTTTAGATGGGATCTTTACATTTGGGTGGTTGATTTTTTTCAGATTTTTATTTTCAGAACCAGGGACTGAACTCAGGCTCTTGCACTTGCCAGGCAAGGGCTTATTCTACTGGGCTATCTCCCTGGCCCTTTTTTCAGTTTAAAAAAAAAA